ATGTGAATCGATGATCCGACCGTTGGATCGTCACCAAAATTGGATACATTATAATACGTAATATTTAAAGATCATAGGAATTTACAGATTGGGAATCCGACTTACGGATCTTCCTGAATTGGATTTGTAAGTTAGTAAAATAAATGTTCACGACCACTTGTTTTAGGCAATTGGCGGAGATCTGACCGTTGGATCGTAATGAAATTTTAATATGTTATTCTAGAAACATATTGTGGATCGTTGGGAGTTACGGATTCGAAATCTGATATGCGGATCGTTGGGAGTTACGGACTTGTGGTCAATGGGTATCAAACTATTTTAGAATGTCGTTGAGGTTGTGTTTTATGTGAATTACGTATTCTACAGATAAGAGTTCTGAGATGTGATTTGATAATTGGCCACAGAGACCGATCATTCAGGACGCCTCGATGCGTGCGCTAGAGAAGTATAGCGTGGACTCTAGGTGAGTGGATATTTTCCTTTTTATTGTGCATATTATTGAGATTTCTTTCGACACTTTTAAATTGATTAGGTATATTACCTTTATATAATTATTGTGAATGCTTGAAGTACCTATATGAACTACGAATGGCTTGATCCCTATTTAGGGTACGTAGGCAGTCTAACGAGACGTTAGATGCAGCCATAAAATATTTGAGACAAAAGCCTTGCTTGGGAAATTGAGTAATGCGAAGGAAATTGGTAAAGGCAAGTTTTAGTTTTATGAATTAGTTTGTTAAATTAGTGTTAATTGGGTTGTCATGGATAATTATCCCTGAAAATAAGTAGTTGGGTGTAGGGCGTTATTGATTGTACACTTCTCACTGTATTGTTTATAATTGAAAATGCTACGACATGGTTAAGTATTAGATTGCATCATGGTATATTCATATGTATATTACTTGCATATAATTATTGGGAACGCTTTCAAGTGCAAAGGTGAACTCAGGACACCCAGGTAAGTTCAGGTGAGTTTATGGTACTAGTTGAATCGATCGCGTTATAGCATGACTACAGTTATGAGTTAGGCAACTTCGATACTGTCGTACTGGTTGCCATGAGTTGTACATGTTATATTGAGATGCATCGAGAGCTCATAAACCTGCACCCCAGTGTTAGTGCTCCCGCCCGTGGCCAGGGCACAGTCCTTCACATGATGTTCACCTCCCGCACCTTACGCTCACCTTGGATCCAAGGTAGGTGCACAGTCCTGTCGTACAGACCACTTTAGGTGGTTTCGACTCGTAGGTGACCCGCGATTATTCGCCCAGTCTTCACGTGATCGTAGCACTCGAGTGTATTTATTTACACCCAGTCCTGTCGTACAGACCACTTTAGGTGGTTCCGACTCGTGTGCAGGTATACTTATTGAGCTATATGCTAGCCAGGATTGATGAGATATGGATAAGTCGTACAGGTCACTATAGGTGACTCCGACTTATATACTAGCCAGGATTGATGAGATATGGATAAGTCGTACATGTCACTATAGGTGACTCCGACTTATATGCTAGCCAGGATTGACGAGATATGGATAAGTCGTACAGGTCACTATAGGTGACTCCGACTTATATGCTAGCCAGGATTGACGAGATATGGATAAGTCGTACAGGTCACTATAGGTGACTCCGACTTATATGCTAGCCATGATTGATGAGATACGGTTAAGTTGTACATGTCATTTTAGATGACTCTGACTGATATATCACTTTGTATTGATTTAGTTCATTTGGCCTACTTATTAATGTATGGTGGATTTGATGGCAAACCGTGGTTTTGGTCATTTCTGAGTGTGGTTTGGATATATGTATATATGTTGTACTGTTTTTGAGAAAACGATACGGGTTTTACATTTAGGGGCATTACTTTTAGAGAGGTAGTAACTTTGGGAAGCTTGGTTTTATTGCTTACTCACACCTTCTGTTTAGTGCCCTCCAGGTTTTAGCTGCTGAGTTTGTATCAACAAGAATCTGTGGCGAATCTTAGTATTGATGGATATTTTTGAGGGTATGATTCTTACTCATACTACTGTACCTTACTTATGCTCTGACATCGCGTGTGAAACGGGTTCGCTCCCACTCGTAGCGCACTCTGGTATTTAGACACTTTTAGATTCAAATTCATTCACTTTTTATACACTATCACATCTTATGGCTTCGTCACCTTCCAAGTGTCGGCCAGCACAGCTCGACTCAGGGTCCAAGTGGAATTTCTGGGTCGGGGTGTGTCATCGGGGCCCAAAGCGGACAATATCGTGCTACGGTGGTGGAGCGGGCCCGGGAAGTGGTCTGTCCTGGGCTGGGATGTGACCTTTGGCTATTTATTTAAGTTTCACTTAATAATGTTAACTCTTCAATTTATATTTTCAATTAAAAAAAATAAAAACTAAAGATAAATTAAGTTGAAAAGACAAGTGTCACTCAAGTACATGGGTCACAAAAAAGCCACAACGGGTTTTAGCCTTTAGGTGCATAAGATTTGAACTCCTCTGGAGCTAGTCTTAAAAGTCAACCGGCTAGTTCAGCCTTATTGGTTGTTAATGGTTAGATTTATTAATTGTTTGATGATTTGAAAAAAAAAAAAAACCATTAAACACACAAAATATGTTTCAAATAAATTATCTCATGTCATCTTTTATGTTAAATCTATGTATTTGAATCAACCCTAATCCGTGGGGCTTTGTTCTTCACTTTCAAATCTTGTATTTGTCCACTAATCCTCAAAGAAAAAAAAAAAAAAAAAAAAAAAGTAGGAAAATAGACCCTAACAGTCACTAATCACGCAACCAAACATACATGCTTTCACATGCACTACATGATATGAGTGGAGAATACACATTAAATAAAGAGTCATAAACTTTAGAGGGCAATAATAGAGGAGGTTAGGCTAATCTTTTATGTACATAACTATATATTACAGGATACGACGTTTTAATCTAAAGTCAAAGCACATATTAAATTGCTCATCTAAAGATAACACTTGATTATCTATAAAGCTGTAATATAAAGTCAAAGCACATATTAAATTGCTCATCTAAAGATAACACTTAATTATCACATGGGCTCAGTGTTTATTTACGGACGAAACATGAAATCAAATAAATCTTAAAAAAAAGAGAAAAGAAAAAGATAATATTTCAAGAGGCATGTAAAGTTTGGAGCAAATCTGCCAACGCAAAGCGTGCATAAAACTGTTATCAACTTATCTCATAACATGAGAGAGTCAATGAACTTATTTGCCCTTTCATTAAACCTAGGAGTCTAACAATAAAATAGAATAGAATTAAAGTCTAACAATCAGCCTACAAAGTCTACACATGATAACTTTGGTTTTGAAAGTGAAAACAAATTTAAAATAATTTTCTAGTTTTGAGGTCTAATTTTTATTGTATGTTTCTTTATATATTTTTTTCGTAATCTGTTTTCCACGTATCTCTCTTTTTTCTTATAATCTAACACAAACGTGATTTTTTTTTTAAAAAAAAACAAACAATATATATGCATGTATGAGCATTGGAGCCCTCAATTTTGAGACTTAATTTACAAACTAATAATTATAAGCCAATAAGAAATGTATACATCGACATAATGGACCTATTCATTACGCAAATTGTGCAAATTGCAAAGTTATAAGCAGCATCAAAGAATGAGAATACTTCTTTTGCTTTTACTTTCTTCTGTTCATGAACCACTAGTTTTGATTCTTTTGATGATCGAGTTACAACGTCTCTTTAAATGAAAATTGAAAGGTACTTACTCTTTACGAAAATAAAACATTATTTTAACGATACATTTAAGTTACTTGAACATAATCTTTATTTTTGTTCTCCTTTTGCTTATAAAAAGACAAATTTGCGATTGCAGATTGTTTGGGATGTCTAGAGACTCAAAAAGGATTTGGCAGTGGTAAGGTTCCATCCTGCATCGCAATCAGTAGGATCTAAACCTAATTTTGACCTTGCTGGTACGTTGTGATCATGATGATAAGAAAAGTTGTGATCAGGATGATCGTACTCCCAACTTTGGACACTACTTGGTACTTGATGTGGTCATATACAATGAACCAGCATCCTCGCCGGATCCATTTTCTAAGAATCCTAAAAATCATACAATCGTGTTCGTTCATCATATATCGTACGATCATAAAATAATTAAAATTTAAAATTCAAATATAAATAATACTTAACGAAAACTGACCGTACGATATATGATAAACGAACACGATTACGTAATCCCTACAATCCCTAAGAAATAGATTCGGCGAGGATCTGGTTAATATACAATAACAGATTTATAAAATTTTCCTTCGCATATTTAGTTAATAACTGACAAGTGGAAAGTTTGAATGACAATTTGACGAATTATCCTTTTAACCTATTATGTCTGAACCACTTTCAGACATTTGTCAAACATCTTGTCTCCCCAATAACTATGCTTAAGAAGAGGATATCCAAAAAGCATTGCAAAATCTTAATTAGCAAAATGGGTAATAATAGAAAAATTAAATTTGTAGATAAAATTTTAAAAATTAAATAATACAAAAGTTGATAATTAAATTCTTACTTAAGTTTTGAAAAATGTACGTATTTCTATTAATGATACATTATTTAGTTTGTAAATTTTATTTTCTTAGCATTAACATTAGAAAAATAATTGGAGGCGGGGGCCATGGGCAGAGGCATCATATGTCTATTGGTGTCCCTGACTTAACTCCTTCTGTGATGGAAAATTGATCTAATTATAAATAAACATTCCGAATTTTTTCTACCATCTCACATTTTCTAGTTATGTAATTTTTTTCATTAGTTAATGGTTTATAATTTTGACGTTCTAAATATCAATTACTAAAATTATGTTATTGGACAATAAATTAATAACATTGTATATTATACTAGGCGAGTTGTTAATTGTATTTTTTTAATACATGGGAATATCTTTTATATATAAAGCCAAATGCCAATTTTGGTGTCACTGGTTTCGACAAATTTTTTTGAACACAAATGCCCTCAAAACAAAAAAGTTAGTAAGAAGTTCAAAATAATACATCAAATAATATAGGGATATTTTCGTCATATAAACAGTTTTTTTAAATAATTATTATTTTATCATAGTGAAAATACCAAACAAGTCACCTTCCTTCCTGCGTGCAGACCAGCAGCTGCACTGCTGTTCTTATACTCCTCCCTCCTGCATTCTTCCACTGCAAAACTTAATTTCATCGTAACTTTTTCATACGGTAACGAAATCACGCAAGGTCGGAGCCTATAGATTCGTATCAGAACTCTCTTCCATCTGATATGACACCCACACCTCAAAATCAACTGTGTTCAAAGATTGGAGCCTAGAACAGTGACTTTTTTTGGCGGAGTTTTGCTGATTCCGGCCAATCCCACCGGAATTTGGACTCGGCCCAAGAGAGAAAGTTGATCCTCTCCTGACAATCTTTCTACCTATCTCTTCAATTTTCTCTGTCATTAATCAAACATTCAAACCGCGTAAAGATTTCCGAAAAATAAAAGTTATTTCCCACCAAGAATCAAAAACCCAGAAAAACACAATTGCCCAAAATCCAGAAAAACTGGGAACAATCACTGATTTGATGAAATCCCAATGAAGCAAATGAAGAATCCACCTCGATCTGGCCGTTAGCGGCGGCGATATGAAGAGCAGAGTGGCGGTCGTAGACGATGGAGTGGCCGAGGAGAGTTGGGTCTCTCTCTAACACAGCTTCCACGGTGTCCAGCTCCCCAAATTTTACGGCTCGGAACAGCCCATGTTCGTCACTCTCTCTGCAACTCAACCCCTGACCCATCTCTCTCTCTCTCTCTCTCTCTCTATCTCTCCTCCTCCTCTCTGTTTTTCTCTTATCAATGGAGTCAATGGGAGAACTTCATTCAGCAATATCTTTGAGCCACCTTTACCTGAAGGCAGAAGGTGGCGGCCTCCATTCCTCGCCGAATGAAAGGTTTCACATTTATGTATTTCCAAGTGTAGAGAGAGAAAGAGAAGAGGGAGGAGAGAGAGAGCTTTGGAGTTTGGAGCTGCCCGGAGCGAGACTGGGTGCTGACGAGTCAGTGTTCGGGCAGTCACTGGGACTGACTACGGGCAGCAGTCAGATATTTCTGGGGAAGTTGGATTAGATTCCGAAACAGTACGATGGGCCAACCAGCCACATCCCAGTTGACTAAATCAATCGCAGCCGTTGGGATTTTGACTCGATTCTTTGGCCGTTGGATTGGTAATAATTAGGCTGCTAATTTTGAATTATGGATGGTAATTTGATGTTAATTGTGTTTTACTAGGACAATGATTTGCCGTGTTTGAAGTTTGACTGCAGGCTTCGACAAAAATATTAGGAAAAAAATTGCCCCTCAATCAAAAAAATCCAACATCTTAATAGGCATGTAATGCCGTTTATAATAAATGTCTTTCACACTCGGATAATAATGTAATTAAATAAGTTGTCAGATAATTGTTTTTTTTTTTTTAACAAACGATATTATCTATACTAAGGGAAATGGATGGGCTTAGCCTCATAATGTTCTAACAATAATGTGATTCAATCAGTTTTTTTTTTTATAAAGAAGGCCTTTGGCATGTGAATAATAATGTGATTAAATTAATTATCAAATGATTGTTTTTTTTTTTTTAAATAAACGATGCTATCTACACTAAGGGAGAGGGGGATGTGCTTAGTCTCACAATGAGCTAGCAATAATGTGATTCAATCAATTGTTTATTAAATATTATTTTCTCTATTCTTAATGTAAATTCAATAGAAACCGATTTTATCATATAAATTTAGCTGCTTTAATTGGTTTATAAGGGGTTTCTTCTAGCATGATCTAAAATTATTCATGTACTTCAAATATTTGACTTTTCTTTTGTCAATTTACGCATATAAATATATTTAAAATGTGTAAATCACGCATAGTATGTTGTAATTCAAAAAATATCTTCTATATGCGCGTGAGCGCGTGCATGAAGGCTAGAGGGATATTAAGGTAAGAGTGCATGAAGAAAAATCAAGGCTAAGACTTTAGATGTGGAGATAGATGCGAAGGCTAATGGGATATTAAGGGAAGAAAAATCAAGGCTAAGACTTTAGGTGTGGAGATAAATATCTTAGCCACTATACCTAAAGTCCTTGTAATTATGAAATGGTTACTAGTGCAAAAAGAAAATCAAGGGAAGGCTGCAATAAAGCAGATGAATTATGCAATAGTTGTGAGTGCCACGTTCATTTCATCAAATCCTCACCTTCCCCACTAACATATTTTTCATCCTTGTGCTATAGACTTCTTAAACAAATTTGATATCCATGCATAGAAGTCATTCTTGAGGGCTATGGTTTAAAGTAGAGCCTCCTTCCTAAATCTTTCTTATCATCATTCTTCACCTTGAATCAAAACCCTACACGGTGAAAAAGTTTCCCACCTTCGCCTTAAAAATTCCATTTCTCCAAATTGGAGTTGCAATTTCTTCTTTGAAAGTCTAATTTCTTTTAGTGTGTTGAGTGCCCACGCCCAGAGGATTTAGTGGGGAACATAATGAAAAGTGGTGAACCCAACACTGTCACGCCCAACACTGCCAATATTGCTATGATGCTTTCATCCATTCATCCTTATCGTTCGTTAATTTTGCCCTTAAAATCAACCCTAGCCAGTCGGCACTTGATATCGCTTGTGGTTCCTGGAAAGTGCCAGACCTGACTTATGTTTGGTAATATTAGGAATTTATATCAGTGATGCAATGGATTTTGCTCCTTGATTTATGTTTATTCCACCTGGGTTGGCTGATGCACATTCTTCTGGCTTGAGAAAGGCAAATGCACTAAATTATGATCTTAAAAGAGATGAAATTGAGTTTCCACCATAAAACCAATTGGCAAAATGAGGAGTAGCCCAAGACCATATAAGCATATAGCAAACCTTGTCCCTCGCCAATGTGGGACAACTCTCAACACTCCCCCGCACGTATGATGGATTTTCAAGCCTACATGTGGACAACAACTGGGTGACGCGACGCGCGTGTGGCCGTTGGGCTTCACACGTGGACAACCTTGCTCTGATACCATGATGAAATTGAGGTTTCACCAATATGGGGAGTAGCCCAAGATCATATAAGCACATAGAAAACCTTGTCTCTCACCAATGTAAGACAACTCTCAACACGCCCCCACACGTGTGGCGGATTTTCAAGTCCACACGTGGACAACAACTGGGTGACGTGGAGCGCATGTGGCCGTTGGGCTTCACACGTGGACAACCTTGCTCTGATATCATGATGAAATTGAGGTTCCACCATAAAACCAATTGGCAATATGAAGAGTAGCCCAAGACCATATAAGCACATAGCAAACCTTGTCCCTCACCAATGTGGGACAACCTTCAACATGCCCCCGCACGTGTGGTGGATTTTCAAGCCTACACATGGACAACAACTGGGTGACGTGGCGCCCATGTGGCCGTTGGGCTTCACACGTGGACAACCTTGCTTTGATACCATGATGAAATTGAGGTTCCACCATAAAACCAATTGGCAATATGGGGAGTAGCCCAAGATCATATAAGCACATAGCAAACATTGTCTCTCATCGATGTGGGACAACTCTCAACAAAAAATAGAAAAGTGCATCCACTACTTATTATATGTTCAGCCGTCTAATGATAATTCTGTCTAAGAAATAGATTATGCCAGAGACTTGTGTAGAAAATTATATTTGGCTAGAGTAATCCTTTCATTGATACCTAAATACAATATATACAATTACATTCTCTGTACACCAAGAATTTCTTCTACAAGTTAGGAGTGCAATTGCAATTATAATTTAATTTTAACTAATTTATCATTTTTGTTTAACACTCCCTTTCAAGTTGGAGAATGGATGCAACTTGTGCAGCATAGTTGAAAACTTCTCATTTCCAAGCGGCTTCATAAACAAGTCTGCTAGTAGCTATGTTGTACCAACATGTCTAGTAGCCATCATGCCATCAACCCTATCACGTATAAAATGACAATCAATCTCAATATAGTGAGTTCGCTCATGGAAAATAGGATGGCCACTAAACAATGGAGTAATTGAAATGAAAAGCACCTGTCATTGTGATTGGAGCCTTGGCTCCACTCAGCAAAGATACAGACGGCAATTAGAGGTTAATGTATTCATCAAATAAGAAGGAGATGAGGTGGCGTGGTTCGTGGCTCTGCTGTCAATGATATATTGACCATGAGATGAATCAATCGTTAACAGCAAAATCATCGGTGGAAATGACATGGGTGATGCGAGAATTATACGCACACAAATTAAACCCTCTTTTTGTCAATTGTAGTGAAGTGTGTAAGTAGGGATCGTTCTGGACCGGGGATTAGGAGGGATTGTTAATCTCTTGGAAACTGACTCAAAAACGTAAAAACAATATAAAACACTAAACTAGACTCAAAGAATGTGAAACTAAACGTTAAAACACTAAGACAAACCAAAAGACTCAAAATACTTTAAAGACATAAACTAAATTGATTTCTAGCTAAATTGAACAATAAAGTAAAGGGGGATTGTGTTTTGATGAAAATTGTAATAACAAAACAAGTTAATAAACTAGGAAGAATTATAAAACAAAGGGATAGAATGGATGGAATGGCTAGCTAAGGGGTTCATCTCCATACATGTTATACTTGCATATAAAACGATTTCCAATTGCTTTTCAATAAACCATGAATTCTCAACGCCCCGGGTTAATTAGGTCCGCTTAAATTAACCGTCAAGTTTTCCTTAAGTTAATGAATTGGATGATTGCATACGACAATCCAAAGCATTCCTCACAAGTTCCCTACATGAATTGCATAATAGAGATACAAGCAAGAATCATTAAGCAATATGAAAACTATAAGTGTTGACGAGGCATTCGTTACTATGATTGCATGAAACTTATGCCAAGAATTTGTTTAACGCGATTGTTTATAAGCAACCTCCACTACTTGTGAATATAAGTTCATAACTATTACGTGAAACTCACTTATATTCTAGCGTCGAATTCATGCATGAAAATTAAGCGTCGACTCTCAATAAACATACATAAATAGGTTATCAATCAAATAGTTAAACAAATTGAATTCACAACTTATGAAACGTAATTAGAAGTACTCAAATCATATTGCAAGCATAAACATATATTTCGAATCACCCCCTAGCTAAAGGGGGGGTTTAGTTCCTCATAACTTTGAAATCAAAGAAACACCTAAACATTCCAACAACTCAAACTTGAATTGTATGAACGTTTAGGCACTCTTCTCTTCCATTCCTCATACGTAAAAAAACAAAGAGAATTGAATTTAAGCATTGAAATCAAAGAAACACCTAAACATTCCAACAACTCAAACTTGAATTGTATGAACGTTTAGGCACTCTTCTCTTCCTCTTTATTGTGGCACAAGGTCTAAGGGATGTTGTTGGTGTGTTGAATGGATTGGGGAATTATGGAAATGGATGAGGAGTGGTGGAAATGGAAGATGGTTTTTGGATTCTAAGGGAGAGAGGAATGTGTTTGTGGTGTGTTGTTGTGTTGTGAATGAGATGATATTTGAATGAATGAATGCAAGGGTATTTATAGGAGGAGTGGAGATGTATATGGCTATTTGTTTAAGGTGTTTGTGGCTACAATGATGAAGAATTGCATGTGGAAATAAAAGGGAAAATGTGGTGAAATGATGAAGTAGGAAGGTGGAAATGCATGTGAGATGTTGGAAAGGAAATGGGAATATGAGTAGGCCATGGCATGGGAGTTGTTTTGTTGGTGTAAATGTGCCATGGTTGCAATGATGAAGAATAAAGGGTGCATGTGGGGTGGAATTGAATGATGCAAAGTGAATGAATAATGAAATGAGTTAAAGAGGGAGAATGTGGTGAAATGATGAAGTAGGAAGGTGGAAATGCATGTGACTTGTTTGTGGAATAAAGAATGAATGGTGGAATGATGAAGAGTTGCATAAAGAATGCATGTAGGGTTAGCTAGGTTGGCTTTGTTTGGGTGCATGTGTGTTAATGGTGGTTTTGCATGTGAATTGATGGATTGTTTTTGATGGAATGGATGGTTCTTTGCATGGCTTTTGAAGTGATTGTGGGCTTTGGAATTGGAAGGAAATGCATGGCCTTGGGGTTGGTTTAAGAGAGAATGGGCTAGGCCCTTTGTTTTATGTCCAAAATGAATACAAGGCCTTCAAATTCGTCCAACACTTTGGCTCCAATCATATGCTATCCATTCCAAGCCCAATTTTGCTCCAAAATGCTCCAAAATGCATCTTTTTGCTTCCTTAGCCATATGAACCTAAAAACACACGAAAATGGCTTAAACTACTAAAACAACTATGAATTAACAACATAGATGCACGAAAACAAGCTAAGTAAGTCGCCTAAATATGCTCCTATCAAACTCCCCCACACTTATCTTTTGCTAGTCCTCGAG